TGACAACACACGTGCTGCAAATGCTCACAACGCAACTAAATAAAGAAACGCGCTGCAAATGCTGACAACACAAGCACTTCAAATACAGAAACACTGCAAACAGATATAGACCACATCAGAAATGTTTAAGGGAACCGCAAAGTGGTAAACATGGCTGGGACATTTATCAATGTTTGCTCTGAAAGGTGAGATTTTTTGTTTATTTTAACATCCTGATCATAAGATTCCTTAGTTTTTTTTTCTTCTCTCCTTTGGATATTATTAGCATAAATAAGCTGACGAAATACACAATTACTACTGTGAAAGGTTATGTAAACTGGCTAACTCATTTTACCACTTCCTTTACAAAAATTAACCATAGCCTATGGTTTTACTATTAAAATTAATTAATTAATAAATACATTTATTATATTAAAAAATAAATAAAAACAAAAAAATGGTTACTATAGTTAACCCCGTAACCATGAAGAAAATTAACCATGGATTTACTACACTAACCATAGCTTAAACATGATATTTGTACAACTGTGGTTATACAAATGGTAATCAATACGCCAAAAAAAAAGTTATTTTTTGTTTTGTTGGGGTAATTTTGTTGTGGTCTGTGCTACTTGCGCGTTTCTGTATTTAATTGTGTCGTGATTTACAGCGTGTTTCTCTATTTGTGTTGTGAACATTTGCAGCGCCTTTCTGTTTTTGCAGCACGTTTTTTTGTGTTGTGAGTATTTGCAGCAAGTTTCTGTTTTTGCAGCTCGTTTCTTTATTTGGTTGTGTTGTGAGTATTTGCAGTGAGTTTATTTGTTTGTTGCAACTATTTGCAGTGCGTTTCTTTATTTGTTTGTGTTGTGAGCATTAGCAGCACGTTTCTTTATTCGTTTGTGTCATGATCATTTGCAGCTTGTTTTTGTATTTGGTTGTGTTGCGAGTATTTGCAGCACATGTGCTGTCAAACTGATGAAGATGTTTTCTTAATTTGCTGGTGCGTTTTCTATTTGCATGTGCTTTCTGAAGCTGCAGCGCATTGAGCTCTCTCGGCCACCGTAGGAGCATGCTGTAGCTTGTATCATTTCATATTAAAGCGCAAAAGAAACTACAAGCATGCAATATCATAGTTAGGTCGTCAGTTAAATCATGAAGTTACCAAAAAGGCGATTAAAGCTCCCTTAAAACTGTGCATGCATATTTGTTATACGAGTCAGATTTAAGAACATGTCTCTGAAATGGTTTTCAAAACTGTCCTGGAGCAGCCCAGCACCGTCATCTTACACACCTGATTCAACTTGTCAGCTCATTAGTAGAGACTTTAAGACCTGAAGTGGATCAGAAAAGGTAAAGAGAGTTGAGAGAAAATGCGATGCATGTCAGATCCGCATCACGTTCATCAGCGGCAGCTCGTAAAGTAATAGCAGGCAAATAACCTAATAACCCAGCGGCTGTTGTCTGTTAATCTAAGAACAAAAAAGAGGAAATCAATAACTTTTATGGTTTTAAGGATTCATCTATATTTAAATTAGAATTTAGTGTTTGATAACTTTATTCAATTTATGCATATTTACTACTTGTTGAAGGGCAAATATGACATTATAATGGGTTTATGTGAAGATTGTTTTCAGTTCACTTAAATTAGTTGTTATTTTTTTAAGTCTAATAAATGTTAAAAATGATAGCTCTCAATTATACTGTAACGCTGAATGGCTATAGTCAATGGTTAAATATTAGGGGGGAAATTTTTATAGAGACATCAGTAGTATTGGTATCAGTAATACTAGACTTCAGTCATAAAAAAAAAAGATGCCATTAAACAAATATTAAAAATATACTGTCTTTGTGTTGTTTCTACATTAATTTGAAGATTGAATGTGAAATTAACGCAATATAAAAGTATATTTTAAAACTTTAATGTTAGGTGATTAAGCGCAATTAATCGCGATTAATTTCAGAAAGAAAAAAAACCGCGCAATTAATTATTGTTTTAATCGACTGACAGCACTAACATAATGTATTGGTAATTAATAAAATAATGAATTTAAAAAAGTAGAGAGAGAGAGGTTTTTGTTGTAGTTTTAGAGATTACTGAAGGTCTGGATGGGATGGGGGGGGGGATTTCGCTGGAACTGTATAAAAGTATAGATTAAAAAAAAAAAAAAAACCTGCCCTACATCTATTTTTCTGAAAGTTAATCTGTAATAATCCCTTACCTGAAAGAAATATGAGCAGCAGCATGAAGCGGTCCATCATCATCCCATTAATGATCCAGATCTGGTTCTCAGAAATGTCTGGTTATGACTTATGTATGATCTCAGATGTTGAGTTTGACATGATATATTTGCATTTTTAAGGGGGAAAAGAGCTATGGACACGGTAATGCACAATGTTTTGCAAAAACCAAAAATGACAAGAAACATGTTGGATCAGGCAGGTCATATAATTTTCCTACTTGGCAGACCTGACAAGTACACATGTCTAGGCTTTATAACTAGTCTGAATAAAAGTGTAGTCGTAATTATGAAAATATAGGCTATTTTAAATGGATAGCCCACAAATTCATGCCATCCCAGATATAAATTGATTTTTTATTTAGAAGAGAAACACCCTCCTCCTAAGGTCAGTCTGTACATCTGGGGCCTTTAATAATAATATAATAATAATAATAAAGAAAATACTTCAAGTCCAAATAAACACTGCATTGTGTAAAAGATTGACGTGTATCACACTTTTAAAGATAAATTACTTTTTTTCTCAACTTCATTTTGTTATTCAAAGCGAGCCTTGTATTAGATGCAAATCGCTGTCATTCACACATTTCAGATACACCATTGAACATCAGGCAAATTTACCGCACATCTCTACACTGGTAACACAAACTAATGGCCAAAAGCCCAAACCCCAAAAAGCATAAAACCATTACGATAAAGAAACAATTCTGCCTTTATAGTATATTAATATGTAGTAGCCTATATGTAGCTGTGCATGTGTTGGACACCTGTTTACAATACGTGTACATTCAGACAGCGAGACGAGAATTGCCATGCCGGCAGGTCAGTGGGTTTTTCCTCCTGTCTGAACTACTTAAGTCAAACGAAGCGTCAATTTCTCTCTTTGTTGTTGTTGTAACTTGGCTGTTAACACTGATATACACTGAACCCAGATGCTACCGACATCAAATGGTAATAATGGTTTAACGTTAAAAACGCACTGTGCATTATTACTGACAGTGTTTTTGGAATGAAAACAGAAACATGCTGCACAAGAACTTCCATAGGAAAGGAATAAAGCTGAATGAGGTGCAAAGGTTAAACACATTAATCTGTGTAAGCTAATAAAGCTTTGGAACCCATGCATCCATGAGAGTGATGGAGGATTCACTTACCTAGAAACCTCTACATCAACTCTGCTGCCTTGTTGGCTACTCATGTACTGGACACTTGTGTACTGGTGAGACCTAAAAAATGTAGAACTACAGTATGTAATACAGTGTTAATATCTTAAACGCACATTTTATGAGTTTCTTATTTATATTAATTATTTTCTTGAAATGAGTACACTACAATGTTAAGAAGTGACTTAATGGTTCTGCTAAATAACTGACAACATATATACATTTACATATTATGACTTCTTATAAGAATTACATAAAGCAAACACACATGGTAAAACCTGATGTCAGTCCTTAAAGGGATAGTTCACCTAAAAATTAAAATGTTGTCATCATTTAGTGTGTTTTGAGTTTGAGCTCCGTCAAGTTAATTCTTTATCGTCTATTTTTTATCTTAAAATCAATGTTATACACCATCATTTTTGTTTCTATAACGTGTGAATATATCCCCTATCGTATTCTACAACAAAAACAATCAGAGCGCCTTGTTATCACTAGTTCTATTTTGATTTCCCGAGTCCACTATTAGCATATAGCCCGTTAGCATCGCCAGCGTGGTTGCCGCTAATCTCGCTTACATTACTAATACTCTATTCACACACATTACCATTGTTTTACTCACTGTTACTTGCTTTAATGGCGGATGTGTGTCTACCTTTGAGTGCAGGTGAGGACACGTTCGAGCTGCATTCGGTGCTGGAGGCCGTGGAGAAGCAGATCCGCGACCTGGTGAAGAGGCAGGCCCAGCTGAGGGAGCGGAGAGCCGCGCTGGAAACATCCCAGGCTGACGCTCACAAGTCCGATTTTCCGTACATTTCTGCCATATGTACATTAACTGACAGTCACCACTGATAAGCTACCACTAAATATTGTAGAAACTTAATTTGCTGTAAAGTTGCTTTGCAATGATTTGTATTGTGAAAAGTGCTGTACAAATAAACTTGAATTGAATTGAATTGAATTTACTCACCCTCATGTTGTTCCAAACCTGTATGAATTTCTTTCTTCTGTTGAACACAAAATAAGATATTTGGAAGAATTCTGGTAACCAAACAGTTGACGGTAGCCATTGACTTCCATACAATTATTTTCCCCATACAGTGGGAGTCAATGGCTACCATCAACTGTTTGGTTACCAACATTCTTCAAATTTTCTTCTTTTGTGTTCAACAGAAGAAACTCCTTTTTGGGTGAACTGTTGCTTTAAGCAACTCACCAACCTTAGTTAATTATCTGCTGAGCATTTCTATAAAACAATACCCTTGGTTGTTTCATTCAGAGAAAGAAAAAAGGAGGGGCATTGTTATGCCATTATTAAGCTTAAAAACTGTAGTACTCACACTTATTAACTTTTTTTCAATCTTTATATTAAGCCAAACCAGAGAACTAATCCAGAGCTAATACAAATGTACATAAATAAAGAAGTGTGGAATTTCAACAGCCATCTAGCAGCTCACAAACTACAAAGTTACAACTACAAACATATTAATTTACTTTTTTATTCTTATTACTTAAAAAATATTTTTGTTGTTTAGATTTGTTACATATTATTACAACCTCAAACAAAAGCATTAGTTGATTTCAGTCTATTCATTCAAAACTGACAAAAAAATTATTTCTGATCATTTTATTGAAAGCCGATTAGTGGAAAAGAGCAGAATATCTGACATACACTATTTTAGTAAATGGACTTTTGCTGTGGTTCTTCACACATCATTTGATTCCTCATCATTGAGGTTACATTTCCTAGATGTGCCTAGATCCCAATGAATCCCTAATGAATACAACTTGAGGTAATTGTTAAACAGCATGTTGAATTGTGGTGGAAACAGAAAGAGATTACAAAGCCAGCAGTTCAAACCTAAGCAGAAATGGACATCAGTGACGTCTTGATCTGGGCCAAGAGCCAGTGGATGAGAAGATTGACACTGAACATCCTTTAACGAGTCTGATCTCCTCATAGGCTCAAAATACTTAGTCAGGTAATAATAAAAACTTATGTGATTGAAGAGACATCAGGAAGAGAGAATAAAGACACAAATAAGCAGCTGACAAACTATTATTCTCCAGCAGTTTCTTATTTCCTCTTTTTATCTTGTGTGTTGGTGAACCAGGCATCCAGCAGCTTTTTGCAATAGTAGATCTGCCAGCCATGCACTTGAAGTGAAATAATCAAAACTAAGTACATTATAGAGACAGCAGAAAAACCAAAGATGAACCTATAAGCTTTGCCGTGCCGATAAAGCTGCTGAGCCACAGGGAACATCTCCATCCCTCCATAAAGAATAGGACCGACACAGAAAAGCCCAGCGCTGATCATTGAGATGACCAGGTAACTGATGTTGTTTTTTGGCAAAGCCATGAAACTGAAGACGGTAGGTATGATGCTCAGAAGATACAGGTATTCCCATTGGTACGGAGAGGCCACCACTTTATGGGATACCAAGTTCAGCTGACTGACCACCACCTGTGCTACTACAAGCAACCAGACCACAGCATGAGCGATGTTCAGCTTCTTGATCTCAGACTTCAGGGCCACACTGAGGGGATTGAGAAGGGTCAGTTCAACAGGATCAGAGTTACTGCATTTTTGAAGTATATTTAGGGGGTTGTTCCCCATATATACCCCCATCATGTCTTAATATATTGGATAACATGTACTAGTTTACTTTCATTATCATTGATTTTTCTTTTTCATTTATTTTAAAGCATTTCACTACGTGGGTTTGTACAACAAGTGCATTATGCCACGTTTTTCTAAAAATGAAAAACTGGATTTTCTTTGTATTCGTTTTTATTATTATTATTATTATTATTATTATTATTTAAAGTTTAAGTACCGTGCAACCGAAATACGCGATGTTGCTCACGGGACACTGTAAATACAAGACACGAATATTACGAATCATATTTTTACATTAACATCAACCCACATACCTCATCTGATAGTGTGACGCCACGCGCTCGCGGTGCTGAAAGTCACTTCCGTCTGTTCCGGTAGCGCGCGGTCCTGATCGTGATGCCATGGCAACCCTCCACCGTCGACAACCTGAGGTAAAGGTAAACTAGGTAAATTACCTCACTTCTTCAGTGTAGAAGTTTATATGAGGCAAACTGTAGCCTACACTCGCGTTATGGTTTAACAAGCGTATGATGTAAGTATACAAATTATAGCCAACGAGTACGTTATAAACCGCGGGAAAGCAGAAGAGTTATCCTTAAACGAAAATTACGTCACAATTTACTCTCCCTCTGTTGTTCAAAAACTTGCTTTCTTCCGAGGAACACAATGGCAGGATGCTGGAGGTTGACAGGCTCAGTCACCATTCTTTTTAATTGTATGTTTCCATAATGTAGTAAATGATAGCGACTGTCATTCAAACATCCCGTTTGTGTTCTACGAAAAAAGACATAGAATATAAATAAATTTATGTAGATTAAATTATTATTATTATTATTATTATTATTATTTAAAGTTTAAGTACCGTGCAACCGAAATACGCGATGTTGCTCACGGGACACTGTAAATACAAGACACGAATATTACGAATCATATTTTTACATTAACATCAACCCACATACCTCATCTGATAGTGTGACGCCACGCGCTCGCGGTGCTGAAAGTCACTTCCGTCTGTTCCGGTAGCGCGCGGTCCTGATCGTGATGCCATGGCAACCCTCCACCGTCGACAACCTGAGGTAAAGGTAAACTAGGTAAATTACCTCACTTCTTCAGTGTAGAAGTTTATATGAGGCAAACTGTAGCCTACACTCGCGTTATGGTTTAACAAGCGTATGATGTAAGTATACAAATTATAGCCAACGAGTACGTTATAAACCGCGGGAAAGCAGAAGAGTTATCCTTAAACGAAAATTACGTCACAATTTACTCTCCCTCTGTTGTTCAAAAACTTGCTTTCTTCCGAGGAACACAATGGCAGGATGCTGGAGGTTGACAGGCTCAGTCACCATTCTTTTTAATTGTATGTTTCCATAATGAAAGTAAATGATAGCGACTGTCATTCAAACATCCCATTTGTGTTCTACGAAAAAAGACATAGAATATAAATAAATTTATGTAGATTAAAAAATAGCAATTTACCACAGATTATATTGCAAACTATTTCTACCGTGATACTACAAGATTTCTTGCTTGCATGCAAATAATGTAGAACAATCTTAAACGCTTCCGTAAATACTCTCCATTTTGTCTAAAATATTGACTTCATCCAAACTATACCAAAGCAAAACTGTAAATCCTCAATTTCTGCAATCGAAGCTGCGTACGGTTTATCCTATTTTAGTTAAGTACATACGTTTTTTTTTATGTTAAACTTCGCTGTAGTTTTTGTTTGTTCACGACCTTGTACTGAACTGTAAAACAGCTGGTTGATATATATTCACCCACCCGTAGCAAGATTTAACTATTAGTTATTAGTTAATTATTAGTTTACAAATAATTATTGACAATGCATTTTTGATTCTAATGCAATGAATTTTCAGATCACAATAATAGTCACTCAATCCAACTTCTACGGCTTTTAGTAACACTTTGATTTCTACGAGACACAATACACGTTCATTCACAGTCATAATCGGTGTTACAAATAAGAAGACGCGCGCCATTATATATCATACTTATGAACACCCATACTTTATACCTACCTTATTTCAACATAAACCAGCAAGCAACTTCACACACATACAGTAGAAACGTGAGCAGAAGTAGCTCTTCTTCTACACGTGCGTTCGCCTGGATATAATGCAATATCGCCCTCACTGGCGCGGAGTGGGAACAATGATTTGGAAAAGAGTTTCTATAGATTTGCATTGAGAGGATTGATACAACGGATGAACATACTTGGTTATTAAATTATGCATTATTTTAATTAAATCATTATTAATTGCTGAGATTTCCAGAAATTACACACTATTTAAAAGCAGCAGCTTAGTGTCTGGCTAAGTGTAAAACATCCAAAATTCCATAAATAATGGTCAACATAAAGATTGAAAGCAGGGATTTTTTATTGTTTGTGGAATTCCCTAATTACAAATCCACACAATTTTAGACGATTCAATTTATTAAAAAACAACAACAATGACATTAAATCTTTACTCCAATTTGTTTAACAGTTTAGCACCATTGTCAAAAATAACAAAGAATAAATTCCTTCTTTTTTGTCCCACCAACTTTTTGCACATATACAAATTTAGTCATTCAGTAGTAAAACTAAAAATAAATTACAGAGAGGTTCCTAAGACTATTTGAATTTAACTTAGAGTGTCCATGTGGCCTTATCAACTTGTATATACTGATATTGTACTTATTAACAATCATTCAGTACTCTTGAGTTTGTTTTAATAAACAATGATCTGATCTACTCAAATCAGTTGGGTGTGAAAGAACCTACATGTAAGGTTTAGGATATTTCAGATATGTATTTTAATGATGTTTTTAATTAATAAGATCACTGAAAAGCAAAATCTAAAAAACATAACACTTATGTGCTCACATACTTTCTTGAAGTTCATTGAGATGGCACAATGAGAATCTAAGGGTGCTTTCACACCTGTAGATCGATTGCTTTGTTACGAAACAGGGATTAAAATTATTACAATGTTTCTTTTTATTCTTGGTGCAGTTCGCTTTCACACGGCAAAGTTTCTAAACAGACCAAATTTGTTAATACAAGTCACGCGCGAGTAAACTGTTGTCTCATTGGTCAAAGTTCCGCTGTTTATTTTCCGTGATTCCACTTAGCTGTCAAGGCTGTCATCCGTCAGGATAGAACGACAATCGCTTCCCATACTAGGAAGAAGAGCAATAAGACGGCATTATAAAATGAAAAAGTGCGCTTTTTTTATTTTGAATGGCGAAGACGTGCTCACCCACAGACATTCACAGGTTCATTTTGA